TCCCTCCGCTTGTTCCAGCCTGCCGGTTCCTCTGCTGGCTGCCGCAGCCAAGACGGAGGCAGCAGGTCCCCCAGCCCCGCTCAGCTGAGCTGGCGGGGGCGCCACTTTGTCCAGTATCAGCGTCACAGCTCATAGCAACCTCCAAGTCCAGGGCTTAGACGATTCTCTTGCCTCAGCCTCCCAAGTAGCTGGGACTACAGGCGCCTGCCACAATGCCTGGCTATTTTTTTTTTTTAATTACAGATTGGCTGGGGCTGGGTTCAAACCGGCCACACTTGGTATATGGGGCTGGCACCCTACCCACTGAGCCACAGATGCTGCCCACAAGGTGGCAGTTTTTTAAAGGTTTGTTGCAACATGGAATCTGAAATCATATTATGTACTTTTTGCACCCCATTAGATTGAAATCCATTGATCTGCAGCATCGTTCACTGGTCATTGGGATAATATTGGTTCACTAAATTAGCCATATCTTCATGATGCTGACTCATTTCATAATACAGTAACAAGAGACTCCTTTGTTAATGTCACTTCTCATCTTATCAGAAAGGTCTTTTAAGAATTGGGAAGCTATCAAGTTCACAGTGGTAAATATAAGTTTCTTCAAAATTCTAGTTTTCACTTGAAAGCTCAAATCTTGTTGTGGGGAACAAATGCTGTCAGCTGTTTCCCTTGGTGTGAAGGCTTGCCTCATGCACAATTTACAAATACTCCCCCAATGCCTGAAACTGAATAATGATAGTAGAGTCTCAAGCTGCAGCCCTGGGTAGAGTGCCATGGGGTCACAGCTCACAGCAACCTCAAAGTCTTGAGCTTAAGTGATTCTCTTGCCTCAGCCTCCCAAGCAGCTGGGACTACAGGCGTCCACCACAATGCTCAGCTATTTTTTGGTTGCAGTTGTCATTATTGTTTAGCTGACCTGGGTCGGGTTCAAACCCGCCAGCCCTGGTGCCCGTGGCTGGCACTGCAACCACTGTGCTACAGGCACCAACCCATGTTTGATATCTTCTAATTGGCTACATAGGTGGTTAAAAAGATGTATATTCAAAGGTCAAGATTTAATATAACTAATAACTCTATCGCTTCCTTAAAGTCATTCTTAAGTGAAGCTGGCCATCTCTTCTCTCCCTGTGAGCGTGTGGCACTGACGAATCCCGGATGGTTACCATCACAGGCTCAGCCACTGTGGGCTTTATACCTCGGTGTCTGCGGATCACTCATCACTTTGAGGCCATCAGTAGATGGCCTTCAGCATTGTGAAGAAGGCAAATAATAGTCTAATATTATGGTGAAAATAATCTTGACCTTGCAGACTCACTGAAAGGGGTCGGGGTCTCCTGGAGGTTCACGGACAACACTTTGAAAACCATTGACTTATATAATCCAGGGTCTTTCAGACTATTTTCTTACAGTGAGAGGAACGCTGACAGAGCCCTCTTTTCTCATGCAGTAAGAACATAAATGCTTGCCACGGTGTGTTCCGAGCCTGAACAACATTGATTCCTCTTTCTGATAGGAATTCTCATTTTCAAAAAGCTTCTGTACAATTTACGTGTAAATGCATAATACTTATATCCACTTTTTAAAAAGCTACCTATGGCCAGGCGTGGTGGCTCACATGTGTAATCCCAGCACTCTAGGAGGCTGAGGCAGGCAGACTGCTTGAGGTTAGGAGTTGAAGACCAACCTGAGCCAGACTGGGAACTTGCTTCTAAAAGTAGCCGAGCATTGTGACTGGCACCTGTAGTCCCAGGTACTCGGGAGTCTGAGGCAAAAGAATCACCTAAGCCCAGGAGTTGGAGGGTTCCTGTGAGCTGTGATGCCACGCCATGCACTCTACCCAGGGTGACAAAGTGAGATGATCTCAAAAAAAAAAAAAAAAAAAAAAGGCCGGGCACGGTGGCTCACGCCTGTAATCCCGGCACTCTAGGAAACCAAGTCAGGTGGATTGGTGGCTCCGACGTCACCAAAAATACACACGGACACTTTTTTGCTGGTCAGCTTTTGTTACATTTGTGTATTTAACGCATGGCCCAAGACCACACATCAGATAAGTTGCATCAAACTTAGCTGAGCTTCTGAGCCCTCCGCGGAGCGCTCGCGCATGCCCACATGCGCGGCTGGGCGCGCTGCCCGTTCAGCAGCTGCGCAAGGACCCAGCCCTCGAGCTCTGAAGTCTTCCTGAGAGGTGCAGCTGGTGGAGCCCCTTAGACCCCAGACCCGAGCACTGCTATGAGAGGCAAGCACCCAGAGAAGCCGAGATGCCATTCCAAGACGGCAGAGCACCTGAAAGACGCGTGTAAGAGAGGCTAACGGAGTATTTCAAGGGAAGTCAACTTGTTCACACACGGGCAGCCAGTTTCAGGCAGCAGAGGCAGAACCATGGCCAGCGCTAAGCTCGGGTTAGGCGCGGCGGGGCCATGCGAGTGGGGGCAAGTAGACCCAGCACCGGCGTCAGGACCCCGCTCGGGGCCGCCGGGGGAGCGCGGCTGCAGCACCGTGGACAGCTCCAGGGCTGCGGCGGGGGCGGGGAGCCCTTTCCCACCGGCTGACGTCTTACGCTGCGGCGCTGGTTCCCACTTGCACCCGGCAGGGCCGGGCGGGCGCGCAGCCTGCGCTCCGGGGCCACAACCTCGCACAGGCTGGGGGGACACCTAGACGGAGCACAGGAGTCCTAGAAAAACTGGCTTCTTCTGCGTGGTCTGCAGTCTGGAGGGAGGGGCGAGGAGATGAGCTCCGAGGCAGCTGCATGACGCACCAGCCCCTCTCCCGGCACCCATACGCCTGGCCTCCAGCTTCTCTATCCTGGGAGATGCCCCACTCCGGTGACCAGACAGCCGTTTCCGCCGCGGTGAGGGGCCCTGGCTGCGACACTGGCCTCTGAGGGCTTCGGACCTGCGGCGCTCCAGCCCAGCGCCTTCTTCTCGGCCACAGATGTTCACTGGCAGGCGGTTGGGGCAGAATTCACAGGCATTTCCCAGAAACGCAACACTGGCCAGAGGTTGCAAACATCCGGAATTAATTTAAGGCTCCTGAACGCCCCTTCAGCAATCACCCTGGGCCCGTCTCCTGACCAGATATGGATTTGCCTACAAACCTAACCTTCCTTTCCCTGTCCACCCCCTCCCCTTTGGAGACCAACCACAGCCTTGGCACGAGCACAGGCGACCTGCGTGCCAGACCACCCCTGCGCTCTATCTTCGGGGTGCTTGTTCTGACCTTATTAGGTTTCCTGGTGGTGGCGACGTTCGCCTGGAACCTGCTCATACTGGCAACCATTCTCCGCGTACGCACCTTACACCGTGTGCCACACAACCTGGTGGCGTCCATGGCCGTCTCGGACGTGCTAGTGGCCGCGCTGGTCATGCCACTCAGCCTCGTGCACGAGATGTCCCGGCGCCGCTGGCAGCTGGGCCGGCGGCTCTGCCAGCTGTGGATCACATGTGATGTGCTCTGCTGCACCGCCAGCATCTGGAACGTGACAGCCATCGCGCTGGACCGCTACTGGTCGATCACCCACCACCTCGAGTACACGCTCCGCACCCGCAAGCACGTCTCCAACGTGATGATCCTGCTCACCTGGGCGCTCTCTGCTGTCATCTCTCTGGCGCCGCTGCTGTTTGGCTGGGGGGAGACTTACTCTGAGGAGCGCGAGGAGTGCCAGGTCAGCCGTGAGCCCTCCTACACCGTGTTTTCCACCGTGGGTGCCTTCTACCTGCCGCTCTGCGTGGTCCTCTTCGTGTACTGGAAGATCTACAGGGCCGCCAAGTTCCGCCTGGGCTCCAGAAAGACCAACAGTGTCTTACCTGTCCGCGAGGCTGTGGAGGTGGGTGTGACCCTGGGCCTTAAAAACACGGCACTCATGTTTGGATAGACATCATCCCCGGGGTGCTGCCCACCTGTGTAGAAAGTGGAGCTCTTTGGTTTGGGGTGGAATGGACTGGGAGAGGGAAAGAGCGTCTGAGACCGGTGCTGCCGTGACGTGCTGCCCCACACAGAGCCAGTCAGGTCGTTGGCATTGCTCTTTGTGTCTGTTTTCCATTTGCCATTTCTGACGGGTCCTTTATTTGCAGACTCAGGGGTTCGGATTACTTAATTCTCCAGAGTCCCCTTTGGTCCTGGAATTCTATGAATTTATAGCACCCTATAGAACATCTGCATAAGCTGGTCTCTGGGGCACACTGAATAGTACACTGGAAAAGCCTGCAGCTTTCTGTATGTCCAGCGGAGGTGTTCCAGGTAGAAGGGGTGGAAGTAGATTGGACAGGAAGACTGCCATGCACCAGGCTAAGCAGCTCAGTGTTTCAGCCCAGCCCAGTTTTTTCTTTGCAAAATAGCAACTGATTTTGCAAAATGTGGTATCATCATCTAGGTTACTAGCATTCTGCATCACCTCCCTCCTAATGTAAGACTGAAAAATGTTGCTTCCACTGGCCCCTGCAGGGCGTTTGTCATCTGCCTGCATCACTTTGTGGTGTTTATTCTGGGTATTTCTCCCACAGCCCCAACAGGCTATGTGCAACCAAGGACCACTGGTCTATCTTCCTGAAGACAGTAAAGTTAGAGGAGGAAATTAAAAACCCAGGGAGGGCAATTCCCAGCTCTCTACAAGTGGCATTTACTTCTTGACAACCACTAGAGGGCAGCAATCAGGGCTTTCCTCCTCATCCTTGCCCCCCCCATGCGCCCCCCCCCTTTGTATTAACTCTTAATAATCTGACCCCAATGACTGGAGATTCTGAAACTACATGTAAGTTGAAAATGCTATATAAGTTGAACAGCTCCCCTCTCCATTGCCAAGGGTAATTACTTGAACTTAATTCACATATGAAGTTAAAGCAGAAATGTACACAATTCCTATTTTCTGTTCTTTCTCCTAGACAACAAAGTAAGATCATTACACTTGCTGAGTACATACTATGGGGAAGGATGGTAACGGCCTTGTTTTTGCCAGTGAAAAGTTTGGTCCAGTGAGGGAGATGGACACGTGCCATGGGCTCTTCATGTGTTTTCTGAAGTCTGTAGCTAATTTTCACCAGGCCCAGTCAAGCTCAGAGGGACCAGAGATATCGCTAAAAAAGAAGTGGGGAGGGCCTTGTTTAGAAGAAAGAGAAAAGGAGTCAGGGGCTACGTGTTTTTTTATCTAAAATAGCAGTTGTCAGGGTGATATTGTCCCCCAGGAAACATTTGGAATGTCTGGAGATATTTCTGATGCCCAAGTTGGGGGAAGAGGGTGCTGACAGCCTCTGGTGTGCAGAGGTCAGGAATGCTGGCAAGCATCGTACAGTGCACAGCCCTTCCCTCACAGCCAGTGACTGTTCAGACCACAATATCAACAGTACTGCATTTGGGAAGCTCTGATCTATTAGATCTCTAAACTGAACAAGGAGTACTGATGGAAAAGAACACGGCACTTCCACCAAACTGCCTGGAGCCATGTTCCCTGAGTGCAAGCACCCAACCAATTCCAGGTCAGGAGCAAAAGGACTGGCCACCATCGAGGCCGCACTGTACATTAGTCCTCTCCTACCACGATGCTTCCCAGGAAAGCATGGTTTACCATCGATATCAAATATAGCTTTAAAAGGGGGAAGCAATTATAATTCTATCTCAGGTATATTATAAAAGGATAAAGGGCTCTCTCATTTCTCTGCTTTGGAGATAGCAGAAGCAAAGCATTATGACATCTTTGTGCTGTCATATATATAAAGGATATAAAGGGAGAGAGAAAAAGAGGGAATAAGGCAGTGTGTGTGTGTGCATATATGTGTGTGCATTTGTGTGCATATTTGTATGTGTGCATGTGTGTATATATGTGTGAGAGCACACACATACATATATGCACACACATATACACTCTCTTTCCCAGATCACTTTAAAAATGGATCCCTTGGCTTTGCAAGACCTTAAATGATCCAGGACTCTACCTATAGTATGAGGCTGCCTCTGCTCGTACGTTGAAGGGTTAATCACAAACTATTTCTCTGTGGTAGTGGGTGTCAGAGTTTCTAAATACAGTTCCACCACCAGCTAGTTGTGTTACCCAGGGAAACCACAACAGTTCTTGTTTCTTTGTCTGCTGAGTTTTATTCAAACACATGCAAACCCTAACCTATGACAGCCACTGAGATGACAACGGGAACAAGAGACAGATAAGCCTTGTCCTTGTCAAAAGGTGATTCAGCCACTACTGAGGACTTGCAATAACAGGCTGAAGAGAAATGTGTTGCTTACCACAGTGGACAGATGTGCTTTCAGGGACAATTTCTCTGAGCAGAGCAGAAAGCTATTGTTAAATGGCACTCAGGACTTCAGGGATTGGCAGACTACAGAAGTGTGAGTGGATGACATCATCTATATTAGCTGCTGATGTCAACTGGCTGTTACTCCAGTGGGGTTGGCTGCAGGAGTTTACCCTAGTGGCCTGAATTTCAAAGGTGAGAAGGAGACTACCATAGGTTGGCTTTTAAGATCATCTTCATTGAGATCAATTCTCCTTGATTGATATGATAAATAAGTTTACAACTGGCTCTGCACTAAAGAACACCCAGGTCTTTCCCTAGGTCTGTGGGAACATGTAGGTTTTGGTCACCTATTCTTGGTCCCAATCCAGCCAGACCTTCAGGAGAGACCACAAGAATCATCCAGCTCTTCACCAATGCTGTTGTTTCTTTCCTCAAACCCTAAGTTTTGTCTGTACACATCTGATGTTCTGATTGCACATTAACTAACGTGATTTTATCCTGTTCTTGGAACCATTTGTTGAATCGTCTGTCAGGAAGTGTTGTGCATGCCTGTGAAGTTCCGGACGGTAGGCCTCAGACAGCTATGAGACTAACAAGCGCAACCAGAGATATTGTAAGAATGGACGGAGTGGCATCCCAAGTGATCACCCGGATTTCCCAGCTCTGATCAAGAAAGCATGTCCCAGAGGTTCCCTGAGTCTTTCCTAGGTAACTGTGATCCTTTTTATTCTAGCTTAAATATAGACTGTTTCACCTTTGTTACCCAGGTTCAGGTATAGGGGTCCTGACCTCAGTAGGCTCCTAAGTCCCTGAGATCAGAGGCCTTCAAGGATGTTTCACCCAGAGAACCATTTCTCACAGTGACTTTCAGCTTCCACTTTTTAAGTCTATATGGAAATATCTTGCCCCTTATTAGATATTTTCTTTCTTTTTTTTTTGAGACAGAGCCTCAAGCTATCCCCCTGGGTAGGAATGCTGTAGCATCACAGCTCACAGTAACCTCCAACTCTTGGGCTCAAGCAAGTCTCCTGCCTCAGCCTCCCAAGTAGCTGGGACCACAGGTGCCCACCACAGTGCCTGGCTATTTTTTGGTTGCAGCCATCATTGTTGTTTGGTGGGCCCAGGCTGGACTTGAACCCGCCACCTTAGGTGTATGTGGCTGGCACCTGAGCCACTTAAGCCACAGGCGCTGAGCCTAGATATTTTCTGAATTGGCAATTTCACATTTTAGTTTATTTTTTTCTTGTTAAACTTCTTAATTCAGGTTTAAGCCCACTTATAAAAAGACAGAATAAAACTATAGTTTAGCTGTCAAGTTTATACCAGAATATTGCTTGCAAGTTTCTGAAGTCTATTTTCTATCTTTATTTAGTTTACAATTTTGAACCTTTATTTAACCTTTCCTTAAAAGCTTCTGAAATCGCCTTATGTGTTTTCTATTTTTATATTTAAATTTTCATAGCATGGTTACATAATTCTTCCCTTTTCTATCCTTCTTTTAAACATTTTTTCCCCACATGAGGGGATTTCAGTTAATTTTATTTTATTACTATTTTTTGAGATGGAGTCTCAGTTTGTCAACCCCAGTAGAGTGCTGTGGCACCATAGCTCACAGCAACTGCAAACTCTTGGGCTCAAGGGATCCTTTTGCCTCAGCCTCCTGAGTAGCTGGGACTATAGGTGCCTGCCACATTTCCCGGCTATTTTTAGAGATAGAGTCTTGCTCTGGCTCAAGCTGGTCTCAAACTTGTGAGCTTTGGCCTCCCTGAGGATTACAGGCATGAGCCACCATGCCTGGTCTGATTTCAGTTAATTTAATTAGTCAGTACAGATGTGTAGTCCAAGACAATAAGAATTTTGTTTGATTTCCTAAAAATATTCTAAATTCTATAACAACATTTTTGTTTTCCTCCCTGGAGTTTAGAAAAATTCTTCATTATGACTTTTACCTTAGCTCTAAATTTGGGTTTTGATTTAAATTTTATAAATTAACTTTTTTTTTTTTTTGCAGTTTTTGGCCAGGGCTGGGTTTGAAACCACCACCTCTGGCATATGGGGCCGGCGCCCTACTCCTTGAGCCACAGGCGCCACCCTAAATCTAACTTTTGCCTAAAAATTTTATCATATGATTGTATTTTTCCCAAGAAAACACTGAAATAAGGGCAGTTCATGTAGGATTTTTAGATAAAGCTGAACAGAAGTATACAAGAGAGAAATATGCAAGGACAGAAGGTTGGAGAAGGTTACAAAATCTTGGAGAGTTGTTTTAGAATTAGAATCTTATTTTAAGACCTCAAAATACCAGTTAAAGCAGCTGACTTTTAACTGTTTAAAGTTCATCTCCTAATTTTTCCAGAACCTCTCTGAAATAGGTTAATTTATCGATTTTGATTTGCCAGAAGCTTTTCATTAGGCAAAAGAATGGCATTTATGAAGAAAAGAGCAAGAATTCAGATTATAATACATTTTATTTATTTTATTTTATTTTTTTGAGACAGAGTTTCACTATGTCACCCTGGGTAGAGTGCCATGGCATCACAGCTCACAGCAACCTCAAACTCTTGGGCTTAAGTGAAGTCTCTTGCCTCAGCCTCCCAAAGAGCTGGGACAACAGGTGCCTGGTGATTTTGTTGTTGTTGCAGTTATTGTTTTAGCTGGCCTGTGCCGGGTTCGAACCAGCCAGCCACGGTGTATGTGGCCAGTGCCCTACCCACTGAGCTATGGGTGCCGCCCAGGATTATAATGCATTTTAAAATAGGAAATAGACCTACTTTAAGGAGAAGATTGAGACTTCGACAGAGAGGAACCAGGACACACAAGAATGTTTGTGCTTGTGAATTGTGTCTTAGCATCCCAGATCAGAGCCTAGGAAGGGGCCATACGACCTCCAACTCAGCAATCACTAAGCTGGTATAGAATTGAAACAAAATGACATACTTTCACAAACTGAAAGTCAGGAGTGCCCTCATGAAAGTTTTGTATGGAACCCAAAGCAAAGGTCAACCAATTGCTTTTTCATAAATTGGTCACTGGTCTCATGGTCCAGCCTAAGCTCTCAGGTCAGGCTTAGATTGGACTGGAAGCTTATCAAGCCTATGCCTTATAGAATAATCGTTTTTATAGTTAACAGAAAAATGCATTCCAGATAAAACAGAAACCTATGCAATGAGACATACATAGAGACAAACAGTAGCAAAAACAAAGCAAGCAACATAGAATAAGTAGTTTAATGGCATAATACTATTTTTCGAGTGCTACACCTCTAAGACCACAGGCCTAAAGCCTTATGCAAAGATGTAAGTCAATTATCTAATGGTAGGCCTCTCAGTGAAAGATCTAGTTACTTGGTACAAATACCTCAGCCTAATGACCTCATGCAAGGACATGCTAGGTGACCAATCCTAGGACAACACAATGACTTGAGCAATAAGAAGCCAGGAGAAATAGTCAGAGCTCAACTCATTGCCAACACTGATGCCCTTGGCTGCACAGCCAAAGGGTAACTAGAGTTTGGGGTCTAGTGAATGCTCCTCCTGTCCGAGGATCCCATAGAAGGTCTTCTGAATGATTTTAGTGAGCCTACAGAACTGAGAGAAAAAGACAAAGTTGGATTCATGACTTAGAAAGTTACGCTTGCCAGGCACAGTCTCCTGAGCAGAGCAGAAGGTGGATCATTGAAGGAGACGGGCATCGTAGAGTTCAGGGACTGGAGGACAGCCAGAGGAGAGTGAGCTGACTTCCTCAGCACCTGGGCTTTACCCAGGTGGGCCTGCCACTGATTGGTGCTGCTCAGAGGCATGTTGACTGGGCTGAGTCTGACCCTCACTGGCTGACTTTCACAAGTGAGGGTTGGCACTGATTAGGTTTTTTGTAGGTTTGCAAATGTTTATTCACAAAACTGCATTGCCCTTGATCAACGGACTGTGAAGAGGTTTAAACAAGTAACTTGGCTCCTTATTATTATAGCTACAGAATTAGCAGACTTTTAGAAACTTTTCCTAAGTTTCTGGGAATATTTGGTTCCTACACTTGTGGAGCCTTCCCTGATGGATAAGGCCATTACTAGCTTGAACGACCTGACTGCCCCATCAGGCCCTGGTGACCTGTCTCCCATTCTGACCATGGTGTGTTAGAACCTGTGAATAACCTGAACCCACGCTGTCAAGGTAGGAATTTTCATCCTTTAACTTCAACACCCACTGTTGATAATAACCTACTGATCATCTGTGATACTGACGGGGGTGGGGTGGGGGCGAAGTGGAACGCCTGGGGGAAAATATAAGAACACATCAGATTTACGTTTGACTGGTCAGTAATTATTTAGCACATAATCATTTTGGAAGAGTGAAAGGTCTGACACAGAGGTGGCTTTCCCCGGAGAACTCGTTTATAGGGAGAGGTGAGGGTAAATGTTCACTTAGAAATACTTGTATATATGAATCTTAAATTGTGAAATATGCATTTCAGAGATTATTAGGAAAAATCTAACTGGCTTGAGTGTTTACTTTTTTTTTTTTTAACCCTATTCCCTCTTTTCTACTAACGACCATTTTGAGTGTTTATGGTAATTAATAGTCACTATTTCCCAGACTCAAGTACTTTGTTGCAATCATTGATTAGCAGACAGCAAAGAGCCGTGGACTCCACAAGTCAGAAAACTGCAGGGCGAGCACACAAATCTAGCATTTGAGGGCATTAGACACCAGAACCTCCATGAAAACCATGGTCCTCCTAACAGCGGGAGTCTCTGCTGTCCCAGAAGCTCCACTCCACACCACTCTTCCTTCTGGCAAGTGAATTGGCTCTGAATGCAGAACCAGAAAATGGCTCATGAATGATCAACATTTCACAAGGTACAAGAAATATGTGCTTTTCTGACAAACTTGGAATTCTATGACTCAACTATAAAAAAATTCCTGCATCAAAGTGAGCCTTACATGTCAATAGCATCACCAGCTTCACCATAGCCAAGGTGACCAGCACCCCCAGGGGCCCTGGTGTGGCCAGAATCCCCAGTGTCTCCCGTGTCCTCAGGGTCACCCAAGAAAAAAATGCCAAGATGAAGGATAATTTCCCAAAGGTTGAAGAGTCTGGCCAGAATTCTTTCCCCCTGGCCACTTGGGGATGATGGGAAGGAAAGTGGTTTCCAAGACATTATTTTCAGGTTGAGCTCTATTAAGGATATTGGTAGCTTTCCTTTATGCTGAAAAATTAAGCTAAATATTGTTTGAATTCTCTAAAGTGCACTCACAGATATGCATTAATAAATCAGAAACATAAATCAGGTTCCATCTGGCAGTGAGAGAGGGGTACGCAAGGAGGGGTTTTCACGGTTTATTTCATATGTGTTTTTCAGGGTTGTGGTACTATGGACTATTTGCTTCAATATTGATTATCTTTTCAATTGTACAATGCTAGATTTTTACTGTTTTTCAAGTAAATGACAGCAGGGCTATCATGCAAAGTTGGTAATTTATACATCATGGACATTACTTTAACCATAGTGTTCTCATACCACCTGTTTTTGTAGATGATGGGTCATTTTCTTTTTACTCCAGCTTAGAGACATAACCAAGAACTTAAGTGGATTAGATTAACCAGATAGATCTTCAAACTTAGTCCATTGCCTAAAATATTGTATCCTATTTGGAACAAGCTATGTAATTCCCCTTTTAAGTCATGACATGGTGGGTCATGCCTGTAATCCTAGCACTCTGGGAGGCTGAGGCAGATGGATCACTTGAGCTTAGGCATTCAAGACCAGCTTAAGAGTGAGACCCAGTCTCTACTAAAAATAGAAAAACTAGGCAGGTGTTTTGCATACACTTAGAGTCCCAGCTACTCGGAGGCTGAGGCAAAAGGATTGTTTGATCCCAGGTTGCCGTGAGTCACAACACCATGACACTCTACTCAGGGTAACAGAATGAGCCTCTGATGCAACAAAAAATAATAAGTGAATAAATAAATAAACAATCCCCCTTTTAAAATGTCCCAGAGCCCCAGTATGCTGGAGTAAGGGAAGAATACTATTAAATGTCAGTGTGGTCAGTGTCACCTACCAGAAATTGGCTGATTGGCTCAGAAATTGTCCCACATTTTGATCAAATCAGTACATTTGCTAACTTGGTAAATCCAGCCATTGTGATTTCTTCATATTTAGGCTACCTCATCCTCAGACACACATTATTTCAAAGCTCCTAAGAGCTAAAAATAGGGCCAGGATGGAGGAAAGGCTTCCTTTGGTGAAAGTTCCATTCCAGATGTGCTGGCGAGCCCTGCGCTGCAGAGCACGGCCTGTGGAGGACTTGGGAGCACCAGGTGAGACAGAGTCTCAGAGTTTGGAGTCTATTTTCCATAAATGCAGGCAGAAGACACACAGGGTAATCTTAGCGAGAGGAAGGGGCTGGCCAGTGTACTGTCTCAGACGGTGGAGTATGGGAGGAAGCACAGCAGTGGAAACCTTACACCAGAAGAAAAGTTCTAGCAAGCTCTAACATTTGAGAGGGGACGTGAACCCAGAAAGCTGGAAGGATGTTGGAGAGTGTGGATCGAAGGGCAGGGATGGGCAAGGACTGGTGCCCTGCCACTGAGTCATCAGAACATGCCATCTTCTGCCGCTGCCGTTCCCTCCGTTGAAGGGCAGCAGAGGGGAACCATCCTCATCACGTCTATTTCATCACATCTATTCCCTCCATTTCCAGGACGTGAGCAAAGCCCCCAGCTCCATCACCCTGTTTCCATATCCGAGGGTAGGGGGCCATAGGCCGTCAGGTTCCCGCCCCTAAACATCAAGGACTTTCCTCTGTGCTCGGGCTCACACCTGCCAGGGGTGAGAGGCAGCTCTCATATAGCTCCTGCTTCCCCTTCACAGGTGACGAAACCTGCTCAGCAGCCTCAGATGTTGTTCACTGTCCGCCCTGCCACTGTCACCTTCCAGACAGATGGGGACGTGTGGCGGGAACAGAAGGAGCAGAGAGCTGCGGTCATGGTGGGCATCCTCATTGGGGTGTTTGTGCTCTGCTGGACCCCCTTCTTCATCACGGAGCTCATCAGTCCCCTGTGGTCCTGGGACATCCCCGCCATCTGGAAAAGCATTTTCCTTTGGCTCGGCTACTCCAACTCTTTCTTTAACCCCCTGATCTACACGGCTTTCAACAAGAAGTACAACCACGCCTTTAAGAACTTCTTTTCAAGGCAGCACTGAGTAAGGGGCTCAGGACAGAAGGGACTTCCTCTGGAATTTCCAGTTTCATCTATTTCCCCACCCCCACCCCTTTCCCCATGTGGAAGATTCAGGTCCTTAAAGTCCTCCAGGGTCATCTTTAGAAACAGACTGGCCTCACTGCCACTTCTGGGTAGGAATATGGATCCTCACAATGATCTTGGTGACTTACGATATCTAACGTGTCTTTCTGTCCCTCCCTCTGCACTAACCGCCACGGACTTTTCCCACAAAGGGCTCTCTCCTCCTCCAAATCCACACCAGCATGTTTATTGCCATTGTCCTAGAGAAATCAAGGCAGATGAGAGGGAGAAGGTAAAAATAATATGGGCAGATTGACAAAGGTAGAAATGAATGAAGAAGTCATACTGTGAACATCTGGGGGTAGGAGACCATCATTCCCAGCTTTCTGGAGTAGTCCCCATTTCAAATATTTTGTTTTATGGTCTGAGTAAGTGTACCCAAATCCTGATGAGGTATGTCTCAATAGTTGACCTCCAAGTACCGTCTCCCAATGTCTTAAAGTACGTAGCCCTGATTGTAAAACCAGCGAATATTAGCTTTAAAGTTCCGTGTATGGCAACTACATCTCTGTGCAGGTGAGTGTGCGTGCACACACACACACACACTCACACACCCCACCCAGCTGTGAAGACGGAATGTTCCAATTAGTTTACTCCAAATGCAACCCATCAACTTGGCACAGGCACTAAGCGTCAGACTTCCTTCCACTTTGAAGCAACTCTTCATTAACCATAGAGAAGTCTGCTCCTCACGTCGTGTCTGCCACGCTTGCTTATTTGCTATGGTTTGTGTGTATGGAATTCAAGTATCTCTAGGCAAAGTCTTTTATGCTCAGCTCATGAGCTCAGAGTAAAACAACTGTCATTAAGTTGTTGATTTCTTAAATATAACTTCACAATCAGTGACTGTGAACACACATTCAGCAAACACAGGCCCTCGTTTGCTAATTGCTCCTGTCTGTTGGTGTGTGAATGCTGCTGGAAGGCCAAGACCCGTAAGTGCTGACAAAGACAGACCCGGGTAAAGCTGGCCCAGTGCTGGGACCCAGTATCTATATGATCATAGGAAACCTGTGTCATTATACAAAACTTTCAAAACATCTCAGGCAATAAATCTGCCTGTGGTCTGCTGTGTCCCCCACTCTCTGAATGCCTGAATTATGTATTGTAACATCTCTGAATTATAAAATACATGATTTACATATTGTATTAAATGTAATAAATTAAGACTTCGAAAACAGGACATTTATAATTTTGATGTGGTATTGGCTTGAAGTTACACCTCCCATTTATAGCCAAGACTGACTTTATTCAGAGTGTGAGCAGATATGGAAACGTTCCACATGTGTGAAGTCATAACTGATGCAGACCCTACACTATGGATTCAGACAGGTTCAGTGAAGAATTTACTTGGAAAGTCCTTAGATTTTTCTCATTTCTGTATATATTGCTCAAAGGGCTAAACCCACAGGTATTTTAAAATATAGACTTGTTCACTTATTTAATTTACCTTTCCCCCCTATTACTTGAAATTAAAGAGACCAACAGTGCTGTTGTATTCTGATGGTCTAATAAGGGAGGTGCTTCACGAACTCTAAGTTCCCCGCAGCTGAGAAGGATAAGCTCAGACACGGAGGCCTGGGGATGTGACATCAGAGTCAGGGTAAATTTGTACATCTGTTCTCTCCGAAAATTCACGTGCAAACTTTTATTCTACCCCATAATTTCAGTGTTTGTCTTACTGTTAAAAGGCTTATTTCCTTTATACTCTTTAGTAAAATGAAGATTTAGGAAGATGAGCCACATTTGTCTGGTGGCTTCAAATACTCCCTAACTCTCCTAAGATGCTGTATGCCCCTAGTTGGAGAAAGATTAGGTTATCACAATGTTAGTTACACCCCCAGCTGAGGTTATGATTAATATTTTCACAAGATGGACAGGTTCTTGTACTGTTATCATTCAGTCTGTATTTGATACCTCCCAGGCATCCCCTGAATTACAGATTATAGGTACAACACACTCTACTCATGCTGCACAGAGCAAGAAGCATTCTGTACACAGGAAGGCAGAAGTGGCAATCAGTGAATCACTGTGCTTCCATTTCAGTATCAAATGTTTATTCCCAGGTAAGATACGCAGACATTGATGACTTTGGGTCTCTAAATATCTGCAAAACACTTCCATTTACTCTTGGTGCTAATATTTTACCAGGTCAGAAATTAATGTGAATCCTAAACATGAGGTGACTGTTCAAAATATCGGTCCCTGCTGCTTGTGCCGAGGGCAGCAGCCACCTGTGTAGATGGCGCCTGGGGAGGAAGGAGGAGAAGGGCGGGGGAGGGGACGGGGCAAGATGCACACCTCTGTTCTTCTACCTAAAGATAACGTATTGAGAAGATCATTCTCTTGTGATTGATGATCTTTTAAAATTTGTATTTATTTTTGACACAGAGTCTCACTCTGTCACCCCAGCTAGCATGCCCTTGTGTCAGCCCAGCTCACAGCAACCTCAGACTCCTGGGTTCAAGGAGGACTCCTGCCTCAGTCCCCCTGAGTAGTTGGGACAACAGGCACCCACCATCACCCACTGCTAGATTTTCTATTTTTAGTAGAAATGGGTCTTGCTCAGGCTGGTCTCAAACCCCTAAGCTCAAGGGATCCTCCGGCCTCGATCTGCAACCTGAAATCTCATACCCTGCAAGGCCCTTTTCAGTTTTGTACTTTCCTTGTGCAGTGGTGGAAAACAGGTAGATGATGTTACGAGTCTATGTCGACATTAGGTCATTTTTGTGGAAACTAAGTCTTGATAGAAGTTTATTTTTGTCCCTTCTTCCTAAAAGGAGCCCTCTTGTTTCTGCATTGGTTCTACTGGATTCATGCTGCCTCCCTGTTCCCAGCCCAGAGGCCGTGTGGATGACATGTCTCTTTCTTTTTTTTTTTTTTTTTTAGACAGTCTCAAGGTGTCACCCTGGTTAGAATGCTGTGGCATCATAGCTCACAGCAACCTCCAACCCCTGGGCTCAAGTGATCCTCTTGCCTCACTTTTTCTATTTTTTAGTAGAGATGAAGTCTCACTCTTGCTCAGGCTGGTCTTGAACTTGTGAGCTCAAGCTATCCACCTGCCTCAGCCCCCCACAGTGCTAAGATTACAGGTGTGAGCCACCATGCCCGGCCTGTGCCATGTTTCTGTTAAGGAGAAATGCAGACTCTGAGCCTGTGGCATGAATGCCAAGTGGAAGTGACTGCCCCACAGGTTGACCCTTGGGGAAGGGCTGGTAGGAGGCAGTGGTGAGGTTTCTGCAAGTCTCTGTCCCTGTCAGGAGGCATTTCTGGTGCTATCTCCTGGTTGGCAGCACCTGGGCTGGTCAGCAGGGCCTTGCTAATCTCCAGTGGGCCACCTGTGGTGTTCAGTTGTCTTCCCTGCACCCAGGAGGCACCCTACTCTGGCCATGGCACCCCTACTCTGGTTGTGGCACCCCATTATCCCTGCTGTGCACACAGGTGTCAGCTGTGATAGGCTGAAGTCCAGGCTGACCAGCGCCAGTGGGTTAAATGGCTCTGTCTCACCATCACACAAGTTCTGAGTCTTGTGGTAAAGCTACATTCAGACCCCCCTCTTCCTCTTGCTCCTGAGAAGGACTTGCCCTTCCACCTGGTTTCACTCGGAAGCTCACGGCTCCTCCTTTGACGGCCTCCTTTACAAGGGCTCGGACTCACTACTCACTGGGTCCAGCATGGCAGGGCAAGCAAGAAAGAAGGACACGTGTGCCACTCAGCTCCCTCATGGCCCAGCTCCATACAGACTAAGGAATAATCATGGACATTCATAAGCACTTACCACAAGCAGGGCAGAGTGCCATGTGGGGAAGGGGCTGTGAGGTGGCAGGGCCCCCACAGCCTGGAGAGTCATTCACGGAACGACCTTCCAGCTGCTTCTCCTCCTTTAACATCAAACATTCTTTTCACCTGCCAGAAGTCACGTAGCCCTGTGTACTTTCCTTATTATTGGCAAACATGCAGCTTTTCCTCCTTAGAGTAATCCTTACCCCAGGTGTTAAAATTCACTTTGTTGAATTTTAAAAGTAAAGCTGCTTCCACAGGCCAGTGCTGGCTGGTCATCAGCTGCATCAGACCTCCCAGCCCCATCCTATCTTTTGTCTCTTGTCTTCTTTCTTGTTTCCCACCGTTTCCCACTCAGGTTATTTCTCTGTCCTTGCATTGGTTCTTGAGAGTGCCAGGAACTTATCTTCATCCACATTTGGTCCTAACAACAACTCCCTGAAGAATTATGAAGATTTAATGCAATAATCATTTGAATCTTGTAAAAAGTAAATTATAGATTCAAGATGCAACAGCTAGCGTGTTACATCTAGAAACACATCTAGAATCATGAAAGAAAGAAAGAGCAAGCGAGCCAGGGTCTGCACTACCACATGGAACCAGCCCTCAAAAAACAAGAAAAACTTCACAAGAGCCAGGTGAGTGTGGGGACTTAGGACAAATCCCGCTCTCAGGATATCCCCCAAGTATAGCCTTGTAGATGCTGTGAGAGTCAGTATTCAAAGGAGGCCCTTTTGTACAATGTGTTTTCTCTTATATTTGCTGACAGGATGTCGATGTTTATGTGATGCCTGCTTCACAGACCAGCATCCCCAAGTACCAAGACCAATCCAGACATTCTCTTCTTGGCTCACATCCCAGGGAACCTGAACAGCAGTTCTGGACAACAGATAACTGGTGAAAGATGGGAAGTGGGGAGATGACCATACCTCCCCCAGTGCTGATAAGGGAAGGTGCCAAGATTAATTTGTAGTCACGTGTTACTTATGGACAGGGAAACTTCTGAGAAATGTGTCCTTATGTGTTTTGTTGTGCAACCATCACAGAGAGTACATTCACACACCTAGATGAGATGGCTGCTCACACCTGGCCATGGGGTAGGTGATGGTGCCCACCGCA